CCAGACTCACTATCTTTATGGCCTCAGACTCACTATCTTTATGGCCTCATACGTCCCTTAAATTCCTCTTGGTCCATTTAAAAGTGTTGATGAGCCAACCAGCCTGAACTATTCTATTCTGTTTCTACGACATCCGTTCTATTAGGGAGGTTAGATGACCATCCCCCTTAGCCTAGTGAAACACATTGTTAGGACCAGATTCCTCATCTGATAAGATCTGGAGGGGGCATAGCTTCCTCCCAGGAGGACAGTATTTCCCAGTCATGGGGCTAGTTACACTGGCCTTCATTCTAGGCTCCTATTGACCACTGAGCAAGAGAATTAATTGTCTTTTACCATCTGAGCCATCAGGGAAGCCCGAGAGCACTGACTGATCCTCCCAAGTTCACCCGTGGTGGTGATTCACACACAAATACTGCCAACTATGGAAATGGCACTGCTGCCTTGGGGTGCGGGGGAGACAGGCTTGTATCTATCAGTTTTCCTGTGACCCTCTTAGCCACCCATATGCTCTCACTGAGCCCAAATGCCTTTGTGGGGGCCAAACCCAAGAGCTCACAGGCAGCCAGCTGACTGAGCTGAGTCGAGTAACTGGGCCTATTCCCTGCTCCCTGGCCGTGGTTTGAACCATTCAAAGAACATTCAATTTGAACAACATAGCAAATTTTGGGCTTCCTGGGTGGTGCTGGTGGTAAAGAACCTGCCTGTCAATGCAGGAGACATAAGAGATGTGGGTTCACAAAGCAATCTATAGATTCAATGCAATCCCTATCAAGCTACCAACGGTATTTTTCACAGAACTAGAACAAATAATTTCACAATTTGTATGGAAATACAAAAAACCTCAAATAGCCAAAGTAATCTTGAGAAAGAAGAATGGAACTGGAGGAATCAACCTGTCTGACGTCAGACTCTACTACAAAGCCACAGTCATCAAGACAGTATGGTACTGGCACAAAGACAGAAATATAGATCAGTGGAACAGAACAGAAAGCCCAGAGATAAATCCACAAACCTATGGACACCTTATCTTCGACAAAGGAGGCAAGGATATACAATGGAAAAAAGACAACCTCTTTAACAAGTGGTTCTGGGAAAACTGGTCAACCACCTGTAAAAGAATGAAACTAGAACACTTTCTAACACCATACACAAAAATAAACTCAAAATGGATTAAAGATCTAAATGTAAGACCAGAAACTATAAAACTCCTAGAGGAGAACATAGGCAAAACACTCTCCGACATAAATCACAGCAGGATCCTCTATGACCCACCTCCCAGAATATTGGAAATAAAAGCAAAAATAAACAAATGGGACCTAATGAAACTTAAAAGCTTTTGCACAACAAAGGAAACTATAAGCAAGGTGAAAAGACAGCCCTCAGATTGGGAGAAAATAATAGCAAACGAAGCAACAGACAAAGGATTAATCTCAAAAATATACAAGCAACTCCTGCAACTCAATTCCAGAAAAATAAATGACCCAATCAAAAAATGGACCAGAGAACTAAACAGATATTTCTCCAAAGAAGACATACAGATGGCTAACAAACACATGAAAAGATGCTCAACATCACTCATCATCAGATAAATGCAAATCAAAACCACAATGAGGTACCATTACACGCCAGTCAGGATGGCTGCTATCCAAAAGTCTACAAGCAATAAATGCTGGAGAGGGTGTGGAGAAAAGGGAACCCTCCTACACTGTTGGTGGGAATGCAAACTAGTACAGCCGCTATGGAGAACAGTGTGGAGATTTCTTAAAAAGCTGGAAATAGAACTGCCATATGACCCAGCAATCCCACTTCTGGGCATACACACCGAGGAAACCAGATCTGAAAGAGACACGTGCACCCCAATGTTCATTGCAGCACTGTTTATAACAGGCAGGACATGGAAGCAACCTAGATGCCCATCAGCAGACGAATGGATGAGGAAGCTGTGGTACATATACACCATGGAATATTACTCAGCCATTAAAAAGAATTCATTTGAATCAGTTCTAATGAGATGGATGAAACTGGAGCCCATTATACAGAGTGAAGTAAGCCAGAAAGATAAAGACCATTACAGTATACTAACACATATATATGGAATTTAGAAAGATGGTAATGATAACCCTATATGCAAAACAGAAAAAGAGACACAGATGTACAGAACAGACTTTTGGACTCTGTGGGAGAAGGCGAGGGTGGGATGTTTCGAGAGAACAGCATCGAAACATGTATATATTATCTATAGTGAAACAGATCACCAGCCCAGGTTGGATGCATGAGACAAGTGCTCGGGGCTGGTGCACTGGGAAGACCCAGAGGAATCAGGTGGAGAGGGAGGTGGGAGGGGGGATCGGGATGGGGAATAAATGTAACTCCATGGCTGATTCATGTCAATGTATGACAAAACCCACTACAATATTGTAAAGTAATTAGCCTCCAACTAATAAAAATAAATGAAAAAAAAAAAGAGATGTGGGTTCAATTCCTGGGTTGGAAAGGTTCCCTGGTAGAGGGTATGGCAACCCAATCCAGTATTCTTGCCTGGAAAATGCTATGGACAGAGGAGCCTCGCAGGCTATAGTCCAAAGGGTTGCAGAGTCGAACACAACTGAAGTGACTTAGCACAGCGCAGCACAGCAAATTTTAGCACTGAAGTCTGCCACCTTGAGAGCTATCAGAGTATAGGTGGAAAGCAGCATGCAGCAAGACCTCTCCCCGCCTCTCCTGAGCACTCTGAGCCAAAATAAGTGTTTTCAGAGCCACCCAGGAGCCAAGAGGGAGGCTAGACCTCTTGACTCTCATTTCCTGCCGTGAAAATCCTGAGTTGGGAGCTAAGGGATGACTGAGCAGTCTTCTCCACTCGAGCAAAAGGCTTCTTTCACTCTTCCAACCCAGTTCCCATGACAATTGGCTAGGGTGGCTGAGATTGTGGGGCTGGGGTCAAACCCAGAATTGAGAGGCCAGCACCCGTTTCTCCTACCACCCAACCCCGGCTCTCTGAAGATGCTGCTTCACAGGCCACAACTCATCCAGAAGGCCCAGTGTGACACCCTTGCTCCAGGGGCAGTCAGGCTAAGCAATTCTCTGTATGTATTTCATAGCAGCTACTACCCCCGCCTTCCCCCATCACAACACATGTAATACACAGTTTTCACATGCACGCCCCCTCCCCTGCACATGCCCAGTTTAGGCATGCTAGCTGTAAGCCACCCCTGTCTTGAGCTGTCTGTCACAAACAAAAAAGCCTGGGGGAATGCAAGAGAATGAGTGCTGAGTGATGTAGGAATAACCCTGGATCCACTCAAATTAGGTTTTTCAAAGTGAAGCATTGGCACACTGGGACTATTTATTGTTGTTAAAAAAAAAAAAAGGACCCCAAATCCCAAATCCCTTCACAGGTGAAACAGCGTAGTTGAGGACTACTGCTTCATAGCACAGGAAGTTCCCCACCTTGAGGCCAAGGCTGCCCGGGTTCAGGCAAGGGCCCAGAGGTAAGCTGACAGCAGAGCCCGAAATGATGGTCACTCCTGACCCGCCACGTAGTCAGAGGTTGTTCTGTGTGACACCCTGAGATTGCTGAGGACTCTTTGACTGTATCCGTATCCATCCTTAGCCAAGCAAACCACCAGCCTGAAGCTGCCTAGTGACTCAGGGAATCCACGTTCGGAAGGTATCCATGGGGCCCGATGTTCTGAGTTGAGTAAGAGTTTCCAGACCTCAGTGTTGGTGAAACCAGATGATGCTTCTCTCCAGGCTCCAGTTTTCTGCAGATTAGGAGTCCCTTCGGGTTTTCTTATCCTAGCAGAACCTAATTTTCATCAAAATGCCCTGGTGGCTGGAGAAGATATGCAGGAACCTTATTTTTTTAATTAGTTTTTCAATATTTAGGCCCAGTCAGAGAGGCCACAACTCCACATCCCATGATCCACACAGCTCTATCCTCCAGCCAGGTTTATCAAAGATAACCAAGGGCCTCTCATCACAAACGTATCTCTGGTGCACTGATGGGCAAGAAGGCAGGCAAGACAGTGACTTGCTGCCCCACTAGGCTAATTTGTTGGCTGATTCATAGGAGGTGGTAGCTGATGCGTAATGATAACTTAGGGGGTGGTGGCAGCAGGAAAGTTTTCTAAAAATGGCTTTTATTACAAGGCTTTCCTGCATTTGGCTATACTCAGGCATTATGTCATTAGGAAAAAACTGATGACTCTCAATAGAGAAAAAAGAAATCTGTTCCCAAAGCAGAGGCTTTCTGCAAGCTATTAGCTGTCTCCTTGAAATCACAACATTGAGGATTTCGCAGCAACAGCATCAACACATTGTAAAGAAGCATGAGGAGCCATTTGACTCCCTGCCTCCTTCATTACTCATTCCTCTAGGAGGGGAAGTGGGGGAGTGAGAGGAAACATGGCAAGTGGTTGGTTGTTTTTTTCATTTTTTCCCTTCGACTCATTCACACTTAATAAAGCAAAACATAATCCTGAAGTTTAAAAATAACATTTCCCTAGTCACCAGAAAAATTGGAGACTACATGTCATTTTTCTTCCCGGGGCAGAGGGCTTGATTATCTGAGTACAGATTATCCTCGAGTCTCCAAAGCCAGCCAACTCTCTCACACTTGCCTTCTTTCGCTACATCAACTGTCGAGACATTTTTCTGGTCTGAGACAAAGACCGTTTGCCTTTCTGGCAGTCCCACAGGGGCTGCCTGGCCTAGATGAGAGAGGCATCAAAGAGGAGGGTAGGAGAGGTCGGAATCCCCTGGTCGAACCAATTCCTGGGGTCAGCCATTCCCTCCTTCGATCTCTGGCTATTTATCTCTGCAAGTCTGAGGAGGGAGGAGCTGTCTGCCTCTAAATTCTTTCTCACAAATACCTGAGACTCAGATAATCGAGTTGATTACACTAAGATGGATGGTGAGGTCTGACTGCTTTTTGGCAAAATAATAATCCTGAAGAGCAAATGGCCAGAAAACTGAAGCCCTGTGTGAAGCCCACTCACGTTCATGGTTCCATTGATCTCTGCCACCGACTCATCATCTGTAGGGAACTGGTAGATCTGGACTCCATTGCTGACAAGCTCGCTGGTGATTTTGATTTTGAACTTGGTTAGCTCACTCTTAGAAATGGCATCTGATTTGGCAATGATGGGGATGATGTTCACCTAGGGAAGGGAAGAGCAAAGGGGCATCATTACTGGAAATCTGAAGCTCAGAGTAGGTGACCTAGGACTTCTACCAGCTGCCAGAGGGAGCAGTTCAACCCAATAGTCCAGGCCTGACCCCCTCCATAGCCAAACAGTAGTATAATAAATGACGATGAGTACTTACTGTTGCTGGGCACTGAACAATAAGTGCTTTACATGGATTAACACAATTAACCCTGGCAGAAAACCCTCCCAGAAGGTATTAGTACCACTATTTTACCAATGACAAATTGAGGCAGACAGAGGCTAAGTAGCTTGTCCAAGGCCACAGAGCACACACATAATGGAAGTGGGATTCAGATCCAAGTTGAACCTCATTTTTCAGTCTGTAGTCTTAATCTATCAGCTCAGATCCAAACTGATGAGCTGTGTGATATCTTAATATCAAGGTCATTGCTTCGGTGATTTCGAAGCAGAAGGATGACAATTGGGAATCTGCGGTGGACAAGGGGAGAAGAGGCCACTCCTTGCCAACAGTCAACTGTCCCAACCCATCTTGTGGGGGCTAGCCCTAAGCCAGGTGAAAGAGACCCATGTGGGAAGTGAGGCAGGGCAGGGCTCCATGAAGATACATATACGGCCCTCTTTCTGGACACTAAGGAACCAACCTACTGACGTGAAGACAACCCTTTGTTACTGATTTGATCTGTACTGTGCTTAGTCGATCAGTTGTGTCCAACTCTTTGTGACCCTAGAGACTGTAGCCTGCCAGGCTCCTCTGCCCATGTGGCTTCTCCAGGCAAGAATACTAGAGTGGGTTACCATGCCCTCCTCCAGGGGATCTTCCCAACCCAGGGACTGAACCCAGGTCTCCCGCATTGCAGGAGAATTCTTTACCATCTGAGCCACCAGGGAAGCCCAAGAATACTGGAGTGGGTAACCTATACCTTCTCCAGAGGATCTTTCTGACCTAGGAATCGAACTGGGGTCTCTTGCATTGCAGGAGGATTCTCTACCAGCTGAGCTACCAGGGGAGCCCAATTTGATCTGAGATTTAGCCAAAAAGAGCTTCACTGTCAGAGTCTCCTGATTAATTTCTGTGTAAAGAAAGCAGAAGCAAATGCCCAATTTTGTACAGATGCAGGAGAAAGGCCTGATGCTGCCCTGAAGTCCGATCCACCTGAACCTTAATCCTTGAAATTCCTCCGAGAAGGGACAAGGCTTTTACTGCTATGAGGTCAAGCAACTGGAAAGGCACATGCCTGAGTGAGACAGAGCAGAGCGAAGTTCAAGTTCACACAATAAGCACAGCTGATCCTGCCAGCACACTCCGATGGGCTGGTGTGGAGGGTGCTTGGGCCCTGAAAAGAGCTCAAGACTTGAAATTTCCCCCTTCTTTGCTCTTTGCCTTTGGAGCGCCTCTCCAGGCTGATGCCACAGCTTCAGGTGTTGGTCAAAGAAACACTGGACCTTGGAGGCACCTCCCTTCAGGTTTTTGAGGCATGGAGGCTGAAGCCCTTGGTGAGGTAATGCAGCAGGCAGTCAATTCTTGTCTCTTTTCACCACGTCCCCCATCGGCACGCTGTAAACACAGGCTGAAGTTTGCCTATCTAACTCAGCCCACCTAGCAGGCTGCCCACCACATGGCTCCGTGCTGCCTCATTTAAGACACGCAGGGTGTGGCGACGTTTCCCGAGCAGCACGTTACTCGCGGGCGGTGAACTCATTGCTGTGAAAAATGACAAATTGCTTCTCTTTTGATGACAGCTGAAACTCAGTGATTATAGTGAAGGTGCTACTAAACAACCACATTTAAAGATTTCTTTTTTTTTTTTGTAAAATAAATTCCCTGGAGTTAGAGAGAGCTCGGTCTGCATCCCAGATCCATTACAAGTTGTCTTGAGCAAGCTATAACAGTGCTTACCACACAGCATTACTGGGAAGAATGAAATAAAAACAATACATATAAAGGACTCATCACAGTGCCAGGCACATATGAGATGTTAAGGGAGGAAATGTACTAGTAATGAGGCTTTTTAAAGAATCCCGTGGTCAATTATCTTGCACAACCAATAATCCTTTAACATGAAGAATCATTGTCTAATTTATATCTGATGTGGGACTTGGATTTTTCAGTTTATCTTAAAGCAGGATGTGTCTGAATCCCACAGCCATCTTCCTTGGGTGTGGAGGCAATGTAAACTGGCACCACAGAGCCAAGTTCAAATCTAGGCTCTGCCAGGAGCTGGCACTGTGACAATGGGTATGTCTCCTAACCTCTTAAGAGTCTCAGTTTTCTCTTCTATAAAATAAGAGTAATGATGGTGTTTGCTTTACGGGGTTGTTGTGAGGACTCAATGAGACACTCTTCAAGGCACTTTTACAGTGGTGACTTATAATAAAGGTTTAACAAATGTTAGCTGCTATGATAAAATTATTATTGAAATTAAGAATAATAACTTTTGAAGTCAAGCTTGAATGTTTGATTCCAGTATAGGTCAGTTAACATTGTGACAAAGGGAAAAAAAACACCTTTCCACCACCCAAAGTCTGAGGCCCTAGAACCAGACAGCCATCTGTCCTGCATCCACCTTTATTCTCAAGAGGGACCAGGGCAGAAGACAGCTCAATGCACACTCATGCCCGGCGCTGGGAAAACATCACAAAGCATACGACTCAGGTGCTGGAGGAATTAACACCATCTTTATGGAGGGACAGGGAATGAAGAGGAGGATGCCAATGCCACAGAACCTCTGCTGGACTCTGGCATCAGTGTGGCACAGGAGACCACCAGGAGGGGTCCAGCAGGTGCCACCTCCCACCCACCCTTGCCCCTACCTCCCTACCTTACTGTCCAGCTTCTTCATCGTCACTAGGTCCAGAGACTTCAAGGAATGACCCGTGGGGGCGATGAAGTACAAGCAGGCGTGGATGCGAGAGTCATGGTAGGTGTGCAGTACCCTGCGGATCTTCAGCTCCTCCTGCAGGTAGGCCTCAAACTGGGCATCGATGAATTCCACAATGGGCTTGTAGCTACAGGGGAGAGTGGGGAAATGGCCAGACCCCTTCAGACACCTGGATTTTGTTAGGTTTCAAAGCTCTTTTTGAAGTTCAAAATGCCCTCGGTAATCTGACTCCTCCCACCTGACTGGATTTCAGTGGGCCTCTACTCCCATCAGACTAGCCACCTCATTCGTCCCCACATGAGCCAACTGTGTGTTCATCACTGTGCTTTCTCTCTGGAATGAGCGCTTCTCTCTTCTCATCCCAATCTTGCCCCCCCCCCAGGCCTCAGGACTCAGATGAATGCCCATCTCCAAAATTCCCCAGTGATGCCAGAAAGCCTTCTGGGCCTCAGGAGTGTGTGTGATGAAGAATTATGCTATTGGATGGCTTACTGATGCTTCACAAGGATTAGTGTCCCCTCAAACAGACTGTCCTTGTGAAGGGCCCTTCTCTGCCCCATGGGGCCCAGAGGCAGTGTGGAGCCCCCTGGCAGCATCCGTGGATGGGCAGATGGTGCCCCAGGCTGGGCTCATGTCTTTGCTTCCCGTGTCTCCCGTGCAGCAGCTAATACTCGAGCTGGGTACCCAGGGGTGGTCAGGATGTCTCCTTGACCCACTGCTGGGAAATCTTCCAGAATGCACTGGGTTCATCTCAATCTTTCTGGGTTTGAGGCTCCCCTAAAATATTTTTCTGTTCTCATTTCCTCTAAGGTCGTGATTTTTTTTCCCCCGTGACCACATGGCATGTGGGATCTTAGTTCCCTCACCAGGGATTGAAGCCACGCCCCCTGCATTAAAGTGCAGAGTCTTAACCACTGGACCGCCAGGAAAGTCCCTAAGGTTGTAACTTTGAAATCTACTTTGAAACTTTGGTAGAGTCTTACCCACACAACCTCAACACGTGTGTACACCTCCCCACCCCCAAGTTCACTGAGTCCCCAGGCACAGAGCTCCTGTGTGGCTCCAAGTCTTGCTAAAGAGTCAGCCAAGAGTCAGCCCTCTGTTCCTCTCTGTCCTGGGAAGCTTCTTCCTTCTCTATGTCCCCTACAGCCTCTTTCTGCTCTAACTAGGTCAGCTTAGCCTCCACCCTGCCTCAGTTCTCATCTCCCTGTCTGTCCGCTGCCTCTCCATCCGGCGCTTCCTCCCTTCAAGCAAGAAGAGGTTTGCTATCTGGTCCAGGGCAGCGGTCCCTAGCCATTTTGGCATCAGGGACCGGTTTCATGGAAGACAGTTTTTCCAAGAACGGGGGTGGAGAGGCAGGGGGGCGGGGATGGTTTCAGGATGATTCAAGCACATTACATTGGTTGTACATTTTATTTCTATTAAGATTATTATTATGTCAACTCCACCCCAGATCACCTGGCATTAGAATCTGGGAGGTTGGGGACCCCTGCCAGATGGGGAGTCTGCAGAGGCCACCACAGGAAGAGAATGTGATGGAAGGAGGAGCCGGGCTCAGCCAGTGCGTCTCAGCTGCAGCAGCCCCCTACCTGAGCCTTTTTGAAAGATTCCCCTAGTAGAGAAGAGAAAAGAGCTTTTTAAAAAAGAAATCACAGAATTCTAGATTCTGAGAGCTACATACAGAGAGGGCCAGGTGCACGGTACTTCTGCAGCCCCAGAGAAAAATCTAAAAATATAGTCCTTTCTTTCTTCCTTTGATCCCTGTGAGCCAAACACTGTTCTGAAGGGTAATAGCATCAAAGGATCACTTGGTTGCAGGGATCCTTAGAAGGTTCCTGAAGAATTAGTGGGGTGGGGAGGAAATACATCCCTTAGGTTTGTTTAATTAATTTTTGGGTGACTGGCTCATTTGAATGATCTAAATATGGTACGCCTATATTTTTTCCTCCATTATATAACTTTTTAACTTTATTTTTTGCTATACAGAAGGGATCCAAGGAGGACACAAAGCAATGCATTTTTAGCTTTTTACCCCCTGCATCTCTAGTGACACTAGAGACGGGTCTATCTTTCTGCTAATGCCTCTGGTCCTTAGGGTCTCTGAAGAGAGGCATCATCAGAGCAGCCAATCCACCCACAGGATTTGGTTCAGTCTAATCCTAAATGGATGACTCATCTTTGTCTTATTCATTTTTACCCTGTTTCTGACATTTTGTTTTTTAATTTCAGTTTTATTGAGATGTAAGTGACATATAGCACTGTATAAGTTTAAGGTATACAGCATGATGATTTGATTTACACACATCATGAAGTGGTTATCAGAATAACTCTAGTAAACATCTATTGTCTCACATATGTACAAAATTACAGAAATACAAACAAAAATTTCCCTTTTGATGAGAATTCAGGATTTACTCTCTTAACTTTCATATATAACATACAGCCATGTTAATTACATTGATCATGCTGTAAATTACATCCTTCTTATTTATTTACCTTAGAACTAGAGTCTTATTCATCTTTCTATCCTCAGTGTCCCACATGGTATCTGGAATATAGTAAGGGTCCCACTCCCGATCCCATTGGCTTATCTTTCCTCAATGGCCATCTCTCTCATCCCACTCTGTCATGCTCACTGGACTCCAGTCCATGGTAAACAAAATCCCTTACTCCCATAAGCAACCACGTCACAAAAATGCTTCCTTCTAAAAAAAGACTGCTTCCTTCTGAGGGACACCCGACTCCCCTTCAAAGATGTTGCTTCTTTCATATCCTTATCAAATGGACATGTCTACATCCCTCACACCCCAAGGCAGCTTTTTTCCAGCATATTTCCCCTGGCTTACTATGATCTGCTAGAAAACCCAGCTCCAATATATTCTACCCCTCTTTCTCATGACTGTTGATCTTTTACTTTTCAGGGTAGGAATTCCTTTTTATCTTTTGGCCATGACACACGGCATGTGGGATCTTATTCCCTGACCAGGGATCAAACCCATGCCCCCTGCAATGGAAGCTGGGAGTCTTAACCACTGGACCACCAGGGAAGTCCCTTCAGGGTAAGAATTCCCTAGCCTGGGGTCCACAGACCTTGAAGAGGTCTATGGGTAGAATTCATGATATGAACTTCGATAGGAAAAAACACATCTTTTTCACTAAGCTGTAACTGAAGTTTAGAGTTTCTTCAGGTACAAAAGTAGGTAATGCAAAGGAAACCATAAACAAGATGAAAAGACAAACCCTCAGAATAGGAGAAAATAATTGCAAATGAAGCTACTGACAAAGGATTAATCTCCAAAATATACAAGCAGCTCATGCAGCTCAGTGTCAGAAAAAACAAACAACCCGATCAAAAAATGGGCAGATGACCTAAACAGACATTTCTCCAAAGAAGACATACAGATGGCCAATAAACACATGAAAAAATGCTTAACACCGCTCATTCTTAGAGAAATGCAAATCAAAACTATAATGAGTTATCACCTCACACCAGTCAGAATCATCAAGAAGTCTACAAACAATAAATGCTGGAGAGGATGCGGAGAGAAGGGAACCTTCTTGCACAGTTGGTAGCAATGTAAGTTGATACAGCCATTATGGAGAACAGTATGGAGATTTCTTAGAAAAGAAATGGAACTGTCATAAGGCCCAGCACTCCCACTACTGGACATATACCCTGAGAAAACCATAATTCAAAAGACACATGTACCCCAGTGTTCATTGCAGGACTATTTATGGTAGCTAGGATATGGATGCAAGCTAGATGTCCAGAGACAGATGAATGAATAAAGAAGTTGTGATACATATATACACAATGGAATATTAGTCAGCCATAAAAGGAACAAATGAGTCAGTTCTACTGAGGTGGATGAACTTAGAGCCTGTTATACAGAGTGAAGTAATTCAGAAAAAGAAAAACAAATATCATATATTAATGTATATATATGGAATCTAGAAAAATGGTACTGATGAACCTATTTGCAGGGCTGGAATAGAGACGCAGACATAGAGAATGGACTTGTGGACACAGTGGGGGAAGGAGAGGGTGGGACGAATTGAAAGAGTAGCACTGAAACATATATATTACCATGTGTAACATAGATAACTAGTGGGAAGTGGCTGTATGATGCAGGGAGTTCATCCCAGAGCTCTGCGACAACCTAGAGGGGTGGGAGGGGGTTAGGGTGGGAGGGAGGCTCAAGAGGGAGGGGACATATGTATACTTATGGCTGATTCATGCTGCTATATGGGAGAAACCAATACAACATTGTAAATCAATTATCTTCAAATTAAAAATTTTTTAAAAACCACACTGAGATATCACCTCACACCTATTAGTATGGCTACTATCAAGAAGACAAGAGACAAAAGAAAAGAAGACAATTTTTATCCATTGATCCATTGTTCAATACTTGGCTTGTTTCCATGTCTTGGATGTTGTGAACAGTGCCACAATGGACACAGGAGTGCAGATATCCCTTGAATATCCTGTTTTCATTTCTTTTGCAATATGTACTCAGAGGCAGGACTGCTGGATCATATGGTAGTTCTATTTTTTATTTTTAAAATTGTTTTCCATGATGACTGAGCCACCAGCAGTGCACAGGTATTCCTTTTTCTTTACCTTTGCTAACACTTGATTTCTCTTTTTGGAAACAATATAAGGTATCTATCAGATGAATGGATACAAAAAGATGTGTCCAGTAAAGTAATTATACTCCAATAAAAAAATAAAAGTAATTCCAGCAAAAAACAAAGTAGGTAACAGTCTACAGTAACTTCAGCAGTGCCTGTTATTTCATAACCAATAGAAATTACCAATATTTTTTGTTTCCTATTACAATTGTTGCAAATATCTCAAAATAGCATTTATAATCAAGATCTCTAAATTATAATAGTTATTAGACTTGCATATAGCTATTGTTATTTCAGAGATTAGTAGAGAAGGACACAGATTACTATATAACAATTTTAAAATATTTTGGTAACTGATTTTTTTGGTGGGCTTCCCTAGTAGCTCAGCTGGTAAAGAATCCAGCTAAAAAAAGAAAAAAGAAAAAGAATCCACCTGCAATGCAGGAGACCCTGGTTCGATTCCTGGGTCAGGAAGATGCTCTGGAGAAGGGA